GTGTGTGTGTGTGTGTGTGTGTGTGTGTGTGTGTGTGTAAGTGTGCTACAGCCAGTTTTACAGAGCAATCCACAAAGCAGAATCAAGGCCACGTGAAATCTATTTTGATCAGCATTTCCCCTTGCTTTTCTCGTGACAGGTGAAAGCATTATTTGAAGGATTCTTTGGTAAGGATATTTGGCTTTTTGCACGCGTGCCTGTAATAGTCGGCTCACCGGCAAACGAACGAGTGCCGCCGGCCCTCAGAAAGAATAACCACGACAACAACAACGCCGTCGACGACACCGGTGGTGGAAATACACGAGCGGGACAAAAAACACAATTTAATTGAAAAAAGTACCGAGGGTTTTTCGTAAAGCATACGCACGCCGTGTAAATGCGTTTATTCTGCATCTATATATCGTCGTGCCTTATCGTATATTACAATATAGCTTGCGTTTGATGAGAGCTAATGAGAGAACGGGAAAAGAGAGATGGGGGCTATGGAGCAGAAAGCGAGGAAGGTAGATAGACAGATTGAGAGGGTAAGCGCGAAGGAAGAGGTTTAGCCACATGCACCTTGTGTGAAATAGCAGTATACACAAAGTCAATAAAAGATTGAAAACAAATATATGTGTCTATTTTTCATGTGTGTACTCCTAACGTTTACTGATAATTTGCTGCCAGACCGCCTGATGGAGAGTGTATCGTTGAGTAAAAATGATTGGGTATTTATGAAAACTTTTGCAGTAGCTACTCGTCCGATGGAACGTATAAGAAACCTCGCTGATATTTCATAGCGGTTTGCGTTTTCTCTAAATCTGTATACAAATAAACCATTTCTATTCAGCTACTCTCATCTTGTACGGGTTTTCAGTTAGCTGTTCGCTAATATGTTCTATATTTAGTATATTCAGATGACACCTTTGTGAGATGTATTCATATTACGCACCTACTAATATTATCGTTAAACAATAGATTCTGATGACGCCTATGTGATATGTATTCATATTACGCACCTACTAATATTATCATTATACAATAGATTCAGATAATACATAAGTGAGATGTATTTATGTTAGCCACCTACTAATATTTCTCCTATGCTGTTGATTCAAATGATACCCATATATAAATTGTGCGATGCACGTTATGCGGAGATTTCCAACGCTACCCCATAATTAACACTATACCGCTAATTTGACATTTACCTCGCCGTTTAAGTTGATCTAGGCCGTGTTAAACGTTTAACACCAGTAACGTAACGTGGTTTGGCCTCAACCGGGGTACGTGTACCTTGCTCTTCGATCTCCTCGCTACGTGGCTATGACTACGATATCGATTACGGTGCCTAGAATAGGGCTTCCGCTTGCAGCGAGTGCGCCGCACACACGCAGAAAGTGAGAGTGCATACCAAAGAGCAAGGATTGCGTACGGGGTAGGGTGGAGGGGCGAAGGTTACTGATGCATAGCAACTACTATAGATTATCCGCTCTGTAGTTTGTTTGTTGATGGTGATGTAAGCGCAGCGGCTTATAATGAACCCATGGACGCGCGACGGCGGCCATTTATCGTCTTTTCGAATTAACTGTTGCGAAGCGCGCGCTCGCGCGAGGTTCGGTTCAGAGATACGCAGACGAACGAAGACTCCGTCGCGCGCTTGTGAGATACAACAACACTTGTCGCACACAACGGTGACGTCAGCGCGCACCTACTTACACGCCCATCTCGTTAATACAAGCGCTAGTTGCATGCACGCATGTATGCGCTCCCGATGTAAAGTCGGCACTAGTAATCGTAATGCATCCGAAGCAGTTTGCTATCAATCTGACTGAGACAGCATCGGAGACGTCGCCCCAGCAGACGATACCAGCTTATAAAGCCGGTAACGTCATCTCCGGGCATGTTCTCATCGAACTAGAAAGCCCGCTTGAAATGAGAGGTAAGAGTGGCAGTGACATTTTTATGTAGTCGTTTGTTTATATGTTTATTTGTTTATTCGTATTATTTATTTATTTATTTATTTATTTATTTATTTAACTATTCAGTTATTTACTTATTTATTTAGTTATTTATTCATTTTTATTTACTTACATTTTATTTACTGCATTTAAGTTTACATTATTGGTGTTTGTGCACTTTTTGCCACTTTCCCAAAACAGGCGCAGAGATGCTAATTTCGCATGCATATATGTATAATGTGTCTTATGAACTACGCACCTGTAACTCCCAGTAGGTGACGTAGTAATAACGATAGAATGCCATGTATATTCATTGCCAATAGATTGTATAGAATGTCATACATTATACTATGGCTCCTATATTATGATGATATGGGGGTCACTTGTCAGAAACAAAATTACTCTTAACATTTATCTAAAAATTAAATTTTATGTAAGACTGGACCTCTATGTACTAGGCCTACGTATGAGAATCTCGTACCTTTGTCCTGTTTTCAGCAACAGTCTACGAGAAAATGCTAATATTAAAACAAATTTTGTTTCTGACAACGGGTTCCTGGCTATTGGCTGGGGCACTCATGTATAGGTTGGCCTTTGGTATCACACGCTGAGAATATTATTATCGCTATGATCAGGATTGATTAAAAACAAAATTGTTTTTATTCACTCCTAATTTTGGTTTTATTCAAGATTTGTTTTCACCGCCTTCTGATACAATAGTATTTCTCGATATCATGTGGTAATTCACTAGCTCCTCCTGAATTTTTATTCACTTAGGCGTACGGCTTCAAATAAAGGGCGATGCGTGGGTGCAATGGAGAGAGGGGTACGATAAGAAATCCAAGGACTACAGCAGCAAAGAAATTTACTTCGACCATAAGATGACCTTGTGGGGAAAAGGTGTGTAGTGAAGCGCATATGAAAACAATCGCTTGTTTCACTTATTTGACAATGTTTGATATCATATCAATACTTAACAAGGCTTTTTCTCCAAAAGGATAAAATTTCGTTGAACATTGCTTGGTCAGTGGCCAACATTAAGGTTGTATACACGCTTATGTAAGCAATAGTCAGTATTACGTATTGGAAAACACAATGACAACAGGAGTTGCTATAATATATAAGTACGGAATATGAACGCGGATGTGTGTATTACCCATATTATACATATATATACATATACGTATATACACATGTGTATAAATAAATAAATAAAGGTATATTTGCTATATCAATTTTTATCTATCTCTGCATGAAAGCCTCTAATCACCTGGAAGAAATCCGAAGACGAAGCAGGCAGCGCCGCCTATCAACATGGCGCCGCTCATGGTGACCTTGCGACCAAGATACGCCATCGATGGAATACACTGCAACAGTGAGAGTGTAACGAAGGCGTGTAGAAGGAAGAATAAGAGCAAGAGTAAGAAAGAGGGCAGTAGAGAGGAGGAGAAGGAAGACGAAGGAAAGGTTGAGGAGGAGGAGGAAACAGATGATGTGTAGTGGTGGTTGATGGGAGGATGGTAGAGGAGGAGGAGGAGGAGGAGGAGGAGGAGGAGGAGGAGGAG